ATGTTTCAGCTTATATAGCACCCTTGAAATGATGGAATTGTAGAAGTGGAGAACAATTCTGTGGTTGCCAAAGGATAAGAATGGGAGGAGGCTGTTACAAAGAGTAACATGATCAGTCCTTGCAGTGATGCAACTGCTTTTAATCTTTCTTCTGGTGTATTTACTCAAATCTACATGTATGATAATAAATGGTGCAGAGCCAAACATGCACACGTGCTAGAACAGGTAAACCTGAATAAAAACATAGTTGTTTGTGACACTGTGCTACCTAAAGTTTTGTAAGATGAAACCATCGGGGATAACTGAGAAAAATGGATACACAGGAACTCTGCACTATTTCTTACAACTGCATGGGCATCTGTAATTATCTCAAAATGAGAAGCTTAATTTTTGTAAAAAAAAATTGTCTCTAGATATCAGACATCATAATAATGCAATCTACTAATCCTAATCCTTAAACCTAGTTAACTTTGTCCACTCTGCATCTCTGCCTGATGCAGCATTGTGGTATGTAATTGCAATCAAATGCACCAGCAATCATCTTGGTTGGGTTATCTACTGCTGACCCAGGAGCGTGAGGCACAGAGGGACCAGAGGGCAGGTGGCAGTTTCTCATAAGAGAAGCATATGTTGCCTGCCTCACAAATGTCCACAAGCAAGTCACAAATTAAGAAGCAGAATTGGCCATTGTCTGCGGATGGGCTGCCAACACAGAAGAAAGCAATCAGGCTGGGTGTGTTATTCCTCATAATGAAAATCCACTACTTGCTTGAATGACCTGGGTGAGGAAATAGGCTGCTGCTTCCCATACAGCCAATGTGGACACAAAAATGAAGGGGAGCCCTGCTGTCTTTTAAGAAAATAATTCCATGCTGTCTTGGCAATAAAGTCACCATTTTACAGATAAAGAAATTGAAGAGCAGAGGAGAAAAGCAAACTGCCAACATCTCAAAGTTAGTAAACGACAAAGCCAGGATTCAAAATCAGTTTTTATAACTCCAAGGCCAATTCTCCCTCCAAGGCCAGCTATGCCTCATAGCTAACAGCTTTAGACAGTCTTTGGCTAATAAATATACAGAGCACTATAACTGGCAGAGGATTAAACTGATTATTCTCTCTTTTCATCACATGGAGTTTGAACACTAGTTTGGAGGGATAAATCTTTGAGTTCATATGTAGGAAAACTGTGTTGCATGTGAATATCTCATTTCACAAATAACATACAAAATGTATTCAAGTACACTTGATCCTCACACAATCCTATAAAACAGGTAAAGCTGGATTTGTTATAAGCATTTATTAAAATGAAAAAAATAAAGCTCAGTGAGGCTAAGTGACTTGCCAAAGATGACATAGTTCTATGTCAGAAGTGCAGCTGGAATAAGAACTCATATTCTGTATCTTCAGAATTTGTATACTTCTTCTGTTTGATTAATTCTTTTACATACAAAAGGATATACATCACCAGCCACTCAGTTTAAGAACCTAAACATAACCATTAATGTTGAGGGCCCTGGATTCCCCTCCCTGAGGATGACTATTGTTTTCCAGCTTCAGGAAGCATCATGATATCATCCATAAAGAGTACAGTAGGTGGGTGCCTGGCACTGTGTCCCTGGTAACCCTGTCCCACCTCCCTCTCGTCCCTCAATCCTGAACTGAGCTTTATCACCATTTTGATTTTCAGGATGTCTCAGCACAGATCTTCATTACTCTAAAAATATATTGCTTAATTTTGCTCTTGGTCTTCTACAAGTTGCTTTTTCACTCCATGTTTTGTCTGTGAGCAACATTGGTATTGATGTGAACTGGATAGAAGTCATTCATTTTCCGCTGCAGTATGGGATTCCACAGCATGAATTCCCACAGTGTGTTTGTCTAGGCTCCTGCCACTGAACATTTTACTTACTTCCCCATTGAGGCTATCATAAACAATGTAACTGTAAATATTCTTTTTTTCTTTTCAATTTTATTAGTACATATTTGCAGCACATACATTTTACAATAATCTTGGGGAGTGAGTACTTGTACATGATAGAGCTTGTTTCTTTTTTTAATCCCCTTGCCCCCCGCCCCCACTTCTTCTGTAGCTGTGAATATTTTTGTATGTGCCTAGTTCACAGGAGCAAAATTTCTCCAAGGTATGAAAATGAAAGTGTCATTGCAGGGCGGTAAGATTTACACATTTTCAACATATTAAATAATTCCAAATTTTCCAAGGTTTTGTACCAATTTCATTAGTTTATAAGAGTTTACTATTCCCTCTATCCCAGGCTCCTAGGGCAGAGAAGCTCAGCCAGTCCCAGCACCTGGAAAGAAGCTCCCCCAATGCCATCCCAGGCTCCTAGAGCCAAGAAGGTCCTAGGGTAGTGAAACAGCCTGTCCCAGCTCCCGGAAGGAAGCCCCCCGCTGCCATCCCAGGCTCCTAGGCCAAGAAGGTGAGCCCATCCCAGCACCCGGAAGGAAGCTCCAACGCCTCCATCCCAGGCTCCTAGGGCAGTGAAGCTCAGCTGGTCCCAGCACCCGGAAGGAATCTCCCTGGCTGCGATCCAAGGCTCCTAGGTCCAAGAAGGTGAGCCGGTCCCTGCACCCGGAGGGGAGCTCCCAAGCCTCCATCACAGGCTCCTAGGGCAGTGAAGCTCAGCCGGTCCCAGCACCCGGAAGGAAGCTGGGACAGAGGCGTCAGGGCCCTGAGCAGCAGACCAAGGCAGTGTGTGCAAAGTGCGGCCTCAGAAGACTCGCCTCAGTTGGTGCTCACTTTCTGTGCCAGGTATTGGGAGTGTGGGCTTGCTGTCTCCCCCAAGGCTGAGTGAGCTGCTTCTGGGGTTGTTGGGCAGCCAGTGCCCCGCAAGCTCCCCATGTGTTTGCACCCGGCTGTGCACAGAGCAAAAGGACTCCAACATTTCGCATCGCTGTTGTCCCAAGCTTGGCCACAGAGATCCCAGCAGATGTGCTTGGCTTCTGAGGTTGCCGCTTGGTTCCCCAGGCTCGCCTCACCTGCCGCACCCCGGCTGGCAGCTGGAGGGCCTCGTGGCCCTGAAGAGTTTCACTTCACTTCTCTCTGTTTTGGTTTTGCCATCAGGGCCTCATTTCCTCTTATTGCTTACAATTCGCTGTGTTATTTCATCAATGCATAGTGGTTACATTCATGGTGAAGTCGGTACATTTAAAGCATGGAATGCAAATTAGTCCCCACCTGGGGCTTTGTGGGGAAATCTGTAAACCGTGGATTGCTCTCAAAGTCACTTCTGTGGAGCACACAGTCCCTGTGCCCTGGCGTTGCCAGCTCAAGGCCTGGCTCTGTCTGGATGATCCTTTCTTTGTGGCCGGTGCAGTGGGCGGTGGGGCACAGTGTGAGGGCCCAGCAGCATCTGGCCAGGATGGGGTGCATGTCTGCGGTCAGGGAGGGATTCCAGGACAGTCTGGTGCAGTCAGGAGCCGCAGCTGTGGGTGGACACCGGAAAGAGGGTTCCTGCAGCTTTGCAGGCGCAGCTTGCAGCCTGGTGCAGAATTTGGGGCCCCAGGAGTGAGGTCACTCAGGGACAGACTCACCCTGCTCTCTGCCCAGCTCAGCATGTGGAGAGGAGGAAACCACTCGGGGACTGCACACACCAGGGGAGTGTGGGAGGGAGGTCAGGTCTCAGCCTGTGGTCACCCGCCCAGAATGACGTCACTCACCTGGCACGAGGCAGCGACTCACTGGCCTCTCAGGGAGCAGCACCCCCTCTGGTGGAGCCCATAGCCCTAGTCAGAGATGCTGAGCTGACCCAAGCGTTAATGGTGGACACCCAGCCATCAGGATCCATTTGTTTTTCAGAGCTGCTCAGTGAAGCCAGGTGAGGTGGTGCAGCTCTGCTACCCAGCACTCTGGGAGGCCCAGGCTGGGTGACAGCAACTTAATGAGAAGACTCTGACAATCACAATCACACATTAAATGGGCTGCTGATGTGGCTCAGTGAGAAGGTCCTGAATTTAATCCCCAGTACTGAAAATAAGTTTTACTGATTTGTAAAGATCTCAGTCCATGGGCAGGGCTGAACCATACACCCCCAGGAACCACCAGCCTCTGCTGGCCAGGATGCTCTGTGGTTTCATATTTTAAAAGTAAAATTTAATAGAGATGGAGAGAATGTTCGTCCATCTCCAAGTAGGCAGGCTGGGGCTGTGCTGTACTGTCCCTCTGCCCTCTGAGCAGAGACAGACAGCAGCCAGAGCAGACTCTCCCCAGGTGAGCCCAAAGACCTGCAGAGCTGATGTCCGGGAGGTCACCTGGAGCTCAGCCAGGATGGCGTGCTCTGCCCTGCAGACTCTGCAAAAGGAGCCCATCACTGGCCCCACTCCTGTGACTATGACCAAGTCTCCACTGCCAGGATTCCACCCTAAAAAGCAGCATTGATGATACAGACACCGGGGACCCTAGAACCAGGAGGGCATAGGCTGCTGAGCCAACTGTGTCACTGGGGCCCTGAATGTGTGGGGTTGAGCTTGACAGGCCAGTTCCCCACGCACGTAATGAGATGGTAGGAGAGCTGAGGAGTGGTGCACCCCCTCCCAGCAGAGAAGACACAGCCTGAACCCCGAGATGCAGACAGGGAGGGGGCGCCTAGGGGAGGCCACAGTCCAGTGGGTTTCCTGCGACGGTGCCCTTCGCCTGTCCTTCGTTCAGACTGCACACATTATCTTACTGTGATAAATACATCCTGTCTGGCAACACAACCTGGATTGCCTACTGAAGAAGCCAATGAAAAATGGACAGGATCTTTCTAGGGTTTCCCCTTCTGCATAGCACAAGATTCATCAGCCCCTCCCATGACTGTGTGGCCAAAGGCAAGTCCAACTGCACTGGTGTGAACCCTGCAGGCCAGGTGCCCATGGGGACAAGAGAGGAGCAGTGGCCAGGGGTGTGGGCAGGAGCCACCAAGCACAGTGCTCTGGGGATGGGCACACACAAGGAGAAGGCACTTCAGGCCACCATGCTGACCCTTTTAAATACTAAAATTTTAAGTTTTATTAAAAGCTAGTTCTATTATTTATATAAATCCAAGAAATAAGGGCAATTGTAAATACCAAAACAAGAGCCAGCATAAGTGAGGGGAACAGTGGGAGGGGGCCAGGAGCTGGCCCCAGGCGGAGCTCAGGAGGTGACACTGACCACCGTGCAACCACCGGGTACCCCAGCACTGCAGCAGGTGAAGGGGCTGCCACGGACTCTGGCTGTGGTCCCAGCACTGGGCAGGAAGCTGCAGGTGGAGCTGGCTTGGGCTCTGCACATGGGACTTCAGCTGGGGCTGGAGCTGGTCCTGCAGTTCCAAGAGAAGAAAAAGTCACCAACTGTCCATGTTCCCTCCCAGGGCAAAACCTCCCCACTGCCCATCAGACAGCTCTGCGCACAAAGCCTCCCCAGGAAGTCTTCCCAGACAGTGAGGGCTGAGGTCTCAGTGATCCCGGGTCACCCCAGCACCTGGAAGCTGTCTCTGTGTCTAAAGGCTCATCCCTCCCCTCATGCCCACAGGCCCACACCCCGTCCTCCTCACCCGTGGGCTGTGCCTTAGTGGGCTCAGCTTGCTCCACCTGGGCCAGGAGTTCAGCTGGGAGTGCAGCTCCACCAAGAAGTGGAGGACCAAAAAGGAGGACCGGAAAGGCAGGTAGGAGGCAGAGTGTGAGGCCTGGCCTTTCCTCCCATGCTGCCTGCCCAGGGAACATGCAGAGATGGACAGGTAGGCCTCCTGGCCCGGCTGCGTGTGCTCCAGCCCCACCCTCTCCATGCCCAGTGGGGCAGTGCTGGCCCAGGCAGCCCAAGAGCCTAACAGGAGGCTCTGTGCTCTGTGGTGCGACCGCCTCTGCCTTGTCCAGGGCAGCCCAACATACCGTCTGCCCACCCGTCCCCACTGTCAGCTGCATGAGGACAGAGTCTGGTGTCTGTGCGTGCTACACTCAAGGGCACAGGGCCACTGCTCTGTAACGATCTGAGACGTCGGGGACAGTGGGCATCTGTCCCGCCCACCTCTTCTCAGGCTTTACCTCTGCAGCGCTGTGCTGCCCGGTGTCTATGACGCTCCTGGGCTTCTCTTGCACTGCTGTGGATCCACATCTAGGGAGGCCGGGAAAGTGCCAGCTACTGCAGTGCGAGGAATGCTTGCTCAGCTGTCCAGGGTGACTGAGGACCCCAAACAGCACTGAAGCCCCAGAGGGCAGGGGTTGCATCTGCTCTGGCTACT